TTTTTTTTTTTTTTTTTTTTTCTGGATGCAATCCAGTAACATTCAGAACAGGCATTTTCATTGGCCGTCTTTCCAGATTCCTATTTACAATGTGATGAGGTTTGAATTTCAAGACAAACATGACTCTTGGACATGTAAATTAGTACCAGCCTTCAGGCTCAAATTTGAATAAATTAGGTCAGAAATAAACAAAATGAGCCTGGCAGCAAGTAGCTTTCGTATAGTGATGTGACTGCTTGATACTTAATCTCCCTGCAACTCCTGATTACTATAATTTCTTGGCAGCTCTCTCTTCTCTTCTTTCAGATTCTCATCATACAGGTTCCCTGTTCTCCCTAATTCCATGTAAATTAGGCCCCTTGGCTGACCTTCCATTGCTGCAAAGTCTGGCTTGCTCACAGGGCCTCGGCTCACTGAGAAGCTATTTTCTGCCAACTCTCCCTGCCTGGAACACATTCTTGATCCCTTCTATCACACTAACACCAGCATTCCTTATGTGCCTGCTGACATCACTTCCTTCAAGAGCTCTGAACCAGGAAGGGAGAACCAAGGAAGTAAGCACAAATAAATAAATAAATAAATAAATAAATAAATAAATAAATAAGCATAAACAGGTTATAGGAAATTCCCCCAAATCCCACTGTGACCCACCCACCTTTTGATCCACTGATTTCTACTGAGAGCCTGAATAACAAGATACGTCTAAACAGTGCCCTAGACACGCTTTCTCCTAACACTCATCACAATTTTTAGTCATTTGTTTATTTTTCTGATAGAACATAAGCTGTTATGGTGAAGAACATTGTCAGTTCAGTGCTCTCTCCCCAGGTCTAGTACTGTACCTGTCACATGATGAGAATGCAATAGAAATTTGATCAATGAATAAATATTTCTGTAAGGATACCATAGAACAGAGGTCTATAAACTCTAGACCATAGGCCACATCTCACCTGTTTTAGTAAATAAAGCATTACTGTGTCATTATCACATATGCTCATTTACATACTGTTCTTGCTAGTTCTGAGCTATGGAGTAGCATTTAGAAGTTGTAGCATTAACCACATGGTTTATCTGACACTTTCCAGGAAATTGTTACCAGTCCCTACTGTGGAACATACACTTAATCCTGTGCAGTATAAATTTCACTATTGATTAAAGTAAACTCTACTTACAGAACACTTTGAATTTCTAGCTAGAGACCCAAGGTAGCTGTTTTAGTTTAATTTCTGTGCTGTGATAATGCCCTGACAAAAAGCAACTTAGGGAAGAGAGGGTTTATTTAGCTTGTACTTCCAGGTTACAGTCCATCAAAGTGGAGAAATCAGGGTAGGAACTCAAAGAACCTAGTCACACCATTGTCAAGAGCAGGGAGAGAAACAAATGTGTATATGCCTGCTTGCTTGCTTGTGCTCAGCTCAATTTCTCCATTCATACACAATTCAGAACACCTGCCTTGGAAATGGGTCCACTCACAGTGGGCTGGGTCTTCCCACATCAATTAATTTAGACAACCCCACACCAACATGGCCATAGGCCAACCAAATGTATATAATCTCTCACTGACACGCTCTTCCCAGGGGGTGCTAGGTTGTGTCAAATTGAAAACTAAAGGCTATTGTCATAGTAATTTCTGAAGATAGAGCTTTGATGGCTCAGATACTTTTTAAACTAAGCCATTGTTTGTGACTTACAAACAAGTAGGCCATTGTGACTCCTTGAATTATTCACAATGTCCTAAGAACAGGAAAACAACTGAGAAGGAAGTCGAAAATGCATGGATCCAAATAGTGTTTTCCTCACACCACTTTAAAATTTAGATGCAGTAGAGCATTTATATCAGTTAAGATCTCTCACAAGCAAAAACACTTTTTTAACTGAACACTTTTTCCTTATCAAGATATGTTTGCTCATTTAAGGACTGACATGTCAGCAAAAGAGTAAGTGATATCTGTATCTTCCATGTTCAAATACAACGTTGCTTGAAACAAATCAAGTGAACCCATCTTGGTTATAGAGTTCTTAAAGAAGACGCAACTTCAAAACCAAGCTATTTGCACCAGCACAATCATTTAAGTGACCTCTGTTCCGCAAGCCTTTGTCATGATTGTGGTTCTGTCTTGTAGTTTATGCCAGGTTGCCATAAAACTCAAAACAATGACCTTGAGTGGATGGTCATCAGAATAACTTGCTGGGTGCTCATCAATATCAAGTGGCAACTCTAGTAGTCAGGAGGGCACAGCACATAGATGTGAGCTAAGGAGACAGGTCACTGTATCCCACATCCCAGGAATCACTAGTAGCCTCAGTAATGGTATCCATGTCATCCCCAGGTACACTGCTGCCTGCCACTGATTATTGAGTTACTGATAGACAATCAACTGTCTAGAAGGATGTTTGACCAACACTGATTGTTTATATTTTCCTTTTCCATTTGGAAGAGGCTCCACAAATATCCTTTCTTCCACATGTGAAGGGCTTTAGCTGGACATTATTCTTGGATTACAGCTGCAGAAAGCTATGATCCTTTTTCAACCTGCCCACTTTTAGTCACAGTGTTTTCTGAGTGTGATATTGAGTGTGCCATTTTTCTAGTTCTTTCTTTGAGGTTTTATGAGATCTCTTCTTGCTCCAAAATGCTTGCTTGTGTAATTCTAAGGCATTTCTCTGAGGAAAAAAAAAAATCCGTATTTTTTTTTTATTTATGTATTCTTGTCTCTCTATCAACCAGACCTTTCCATTTACAATGGTGTGCCTACATTTGCATGTAGTGACAGATGAAATGACACCCTGGCAATATCAAAATATGTAGAAGGCCCTTTTGCAGCTGACTGACCAACAGAGAAAGAAAAGAGATGATGGGAGGCACTTGGACAAGCTTAAGTAGTCACTGGGCCTCCCTAAAAGTTCTGCTATGCTGATGAGTAAAAGCCAAGAGAAGCGCTGTAACCACTGAGATGAGTCAAAAGTAGTGTGGTCTGCTACTTAGTAGATAAAAGAGGCAAACACACCTATTTCTGTCACATAAATTTCTCAGGCTCAAAACTTATTATAAAAAACTATTTTCTAACCCGTCTTCTCTTTTTTTTTTTTTTTGTATGAATATCTAAGGCCATTTGGACAGCAGCAGCGGGATCTCTCCCTCCAGGATTCCATGGAGTTAAAGAAGAGAAAAAGAAAATGTGGACAGGTTTCCCTAAATCCTCAAGTCCAACTTCCCAACACTTTGCAGCCCATCTGTGTTTCTGTCAGGCTTTAAGTATTTCGGTGTACACAAAGATGTATGAAGAATCTTTCAGCTTAAATGGTAGAAATCAATCCATCTCACCGATTCCTCCTGACGTTCCAATTCTGATCATGGTAACGTCACAGCAGCGTGCGTGGTGCAGTAATTTGATGAGTTCGTGCAGCATAATAGGGAGGGGATGCCCATCCCATGCTGTTGAGAGAAGAGAGAGTCATTATGCATCTCACAAATGCGTAAGTGAGCAGGACGTATTTTTTTCTTCATTACAAGTTAACAGCCCTTGTATAAATTTACATAATCATTAAGATTGTGCGGGTGCTGAGAAAAATATAAGTCAACTCTGATGCCTGTATGGCATGCTGATGGATGTGTCCATCTGTGAGAACCAGAGAGAGGCATCTTGCTGTCAGTTGAACCCAACTCCTCACTGTCAAGAGCAGAGGTGGGATGGTACAGCGTACAGGTGTGCCAGAGCAGCCCGTTTCTCACCTCTCCATGGAGTTCTTTCCAGTGAGCTTCTGTGACGAGATTGGTTTTGTTTTTGTTTTGTTTTTTCCCCACAATTGACATGAAATGGAGGAAACATATCTGGCTTCCATGTTACTAGTCTTACTTCAAACTAGCAAATGAAATAGTGAATTAGTTCTTTGTTCAAGTGTGACCTTGATCATTTGCTGATAATTCCATGTGCATTCCGAAGGACTCTAAGAGAAAAATGTGGCTTCAATTCCCACTTAAGAATTTGAAGCTTATGTTGAACATCTGAGCAAATTTAAAGTGCTGTAGATCATGATGATAGCCTGACTTCAGTATTTAGATCAGTGCAGCCAATGTCACCAGAAGAGGGGTCTACACAGACTGGAGGATTTAGGGATTCCCAGTGGTTATATTAAGTTCTAACAACTCTCCAGAAAGATTTTCCATATTGTGATTTGTAGAAATTTGACCTGAGTTTACATTAGTGGCTAGTTCATTTCTAGCCTGACAGCAGAGTTGAACCTTTGTGTATTGGCCATGGGTACAGAGATTTTGGAAAACCATTGGAGCTGTACCTGAGCTCCCTCCTCATTGTCAACAATATTATACCATAGAAGCTCTGAGCCTCTGGCATCACCGTGTTTTGATTTCCATCCAATATGCTCTGATATCTGAAAGCATCATAAGACTCCCGGAGCCAGGAATCAAATCTGTATTGATTTGTGTGCTCAAGATTAACAAGTTTCAGGTCTCGGTATAGGCTCTACAACTAATGAATGAATAAAGTATCATTTTTCTCAACTGTAAATTAACAGGATGAGTTATTACTTTATCTATTATATTCCTTCTAAATCAGAAATGTGGTAACTTTATGATCAGCGCTTGTCTTTCAGTATGATGATAAAATTACAAATGGATTTCTATGTTTCTATTAAAATCTCTTCTCTCTGCGTCTTAGAAAGATATCTCTTTCTCTCTCTCTCTCTCTCTCTCTCTCTCTCTCTCTCTCTCTCTCTCTCTCTCTCTCTCTCCCCCTCCCTCCCTCCCTCCCACCCCTTCCCCACCGAGGTCTACTAGAAAGGAGGACTGACTCTTCAAAGGGCTGCTTAGTATTCTGAGTGGCTCAAGCATTTAGGTCATTCTCCCTGACAGGACACCAGGGTCAGTCTGTTTGCTAGCTTGATACATTATACTGAAGCTTTCTGCTCATTCAGGGTAGTTTCACTTTTTTGGGTAAATTTTACTATTTTTATCTTTATTTACTATACAAAAAAAGAACAAATAATTATAGACAAATATAAAACAAATATAAAAGACTTTAACTGAAAAGTTAACAAGACAGTATCAGGGATATTCAGCCCCTTCTAATGCAGACATTCTATAATATTTATTGAATGAACAAATTAATAAATGAATGAATTCTGCTATTTGCTGCCAAAACAGGTTTCAGGCATTCTTGGCCTCTAGGGGAGATCAGCTTGACTGCCCCAGTGATACTGTACACTACACTTTTTCTTGTGTTACTCCAGGCTGCTCTATGGTCAACACTCTACCACTGAGTAATTTGAGTGATCAATGAATGGTGACTATCCCCTGGTATAGAGGCTACTTACAGCTCAGAGCTTTACAATTGTCACACCTGTTGGGCTCACACCCTGCGCCCTGCTAATGACCCCTGCTAACGCTGCAGTGTACACATATTGCTAGCCTCCAGCTTTTGCTTCAGAGTACAGGCCTGTGCAGAGGGACAATCTGAGCAGACAGAGTGGGTGGCTGTGTGCAGACACAGAGGGGAACTGTCTGTGAATTATTCTGTTTTCATCTTCTCTTCAGACATACCGTGTCCAGATATGCCAGCATATTCTAAATGAGAGGAGAGCAAGTCACAAGATCTTTGTTTGTTGCTTTTCAGCAAATGTGCTAGTATTAAACACTAATCATTCTGAAAATTTGCCTTGTACTAAAAGTTCAGCATTCCCAAAGCTGGATTAAGGACAGAGGAGTGAAAACAACTGGAAAGGTGAACATAATAAGCAATTCAAAATAGAAAGAGGGATTGAGGGGCTGGAGAGATGGCTCAGTAGTTTAAGAGCACTGGCTGGTCTTACAGAGGACCTAGATTGGGTTCCCAGCACCCACACAGCAGCTAACAACCATCTTTAACTCCAGTTCCCAGGGGGTTTGACACCCTCTTCTGACCCCCACAGGCACTGCACTCACAAGTGCACTTACATACATGTAGGCCATACACTCATACACACAAAGTAAATAGAATAAATAAAATATTAAAAAAGAAAAAGGGGTTGGAGTTTTTTTTTTTTTTTTAGCTTGACTAGTTAAGTAGTAACCAAACATACAGGTGACCCTGCATGCTCTGCTCTGCCCTGAAGATATTTTGCAGTCGTGCATGCATTCCTTATGTGAGAGTGCAAGCAGAGGGGGAAGAGAACTGTATGTAGACAGTCCCAGCTTAGTCTCCAGCCAGCCTCTACTTACACTGACGGATAGCACAGGGCCAATTTTGAACATGCAGTATCTGTCTGTCCCTGCACAGATATCTTCAATGTCTTTACCATCTCCCTCCAGCCCGAGCTCCTCGTGCATAAACAGTGCAAATGCTTTCATTCTGTTGGGGCTTCCGCCAACGCAGACAAACTGTCAATAAAAACAAAGAAGTCCCTAATGTAATAACTGGGAAAAGAAGAAAGGTCAGAATTCAGCTTTGATGTTTTTTATTTTACTGCATAGTTAATTTACTTCAGAGTGTGTTTAGATGTCCTAGGTTGTGTTTGTGAATTAGTTAATTTGCATCATTAACCTATAAAAAAAGACAACCAGGTGCGATGATTTATGTACTAAATTAGTGAAGAAAATCACATCATAGTAAGTGTTGACATTGTTCAAAGAGTATTTCCTGGTGGTTTTGTTTATCATAGCATCAGCCTGTATCATAACTGATATCATCAGCCTGGTGGTGGGCACTCAGACCACAGTTGCTCAGAGTGAAATACCAAGGATGTGAAATGTAAGTGATGGTAGAGCCAAGGAACAGCTGCCAGCTCTACTGGTATTTTCCAATTCCCCATCCCAACCATAAGCTCCTATTGAAAAATGTACTATGACAACTAAGAACTTTAAAGGACTCATGTCAAGACTTCCACTCATCGTTGAGAAGAGTTTTCATGGACCAAGGCTTATTTTTGTAAGACCAGAGGTGTACTGTAGTATTTCATCCATTCCAGTGACTGGGTTTTGTTTTTGTCATATTTTAGTATCTGTGAAATTAGGGTAGATGTTGTGATCAAAGGCTTTGGTGCATGAACATAGGGAAACGGAGACTTTCAGGCCACTGGAAGCTTCCTTATGTGAACTTTCAGCAATAGGCAGTCACACACAAGACCCATGACAACTCAATCAGATAAGGGCCCAGCGTGGAGGGAGGGGAATGGGTGGCAGGCTAGCCCCAGCATGGGAGCTGTTGGCAACTGATTACTGTTAGGAGAGTACATCTTCCTTAAGATCTCTAGATAAGCTGGCTAGACCTCAGTGGATAAACTTATACCAAAGGACATCTGAGCACAAATGCTTGACCAGATAGGACTTAACATATATGACAGAATGCATGGGGTCTGGTGGGGGGAGTATGTGGGGACATGGATGGGGGAGAGGGTCTAAATTTGATTAAGAACTATTGTATAAAATTCACAAAAATTCAATAAATTTTTTTAAAAGGTGTCATATCTAATAAAATATGGTATAAAATTAGCAGTTGTTTAGCTGGGCACAGTGGTACATATCTATAATCAATATTCTGAATGTGGACACAAGAGGATTGTGAGTTTGAGGGCAGCCTGGATTGCAATGTGAGTTGGAGGCCAGCCTGAGCTATGCACTGAGACATTTTCTCAAAACACAATTATAATTGCTAATGCAGAAAGCTGTTAGGGATACATGAGCCCCAAGGATGGGAAAAGATGCCAGACATGGTAGCAGTATGGCTTATTGCTGGCACAGCTGAGTAGACAGCTGGGTAAACACCAGGCTGGGGTCAGCAACAGAGGACGAGCAACAGCAGAGGATCTTAAGGCCAGGAAGAAGGAAAGCAGCAGTGTGCACAGAAAGGTGAGGTGTCAGGTAGAAAGTTACCCAGAAACTGATGCTACACTGTGGGTGTATTGGGAAGCCCAGTGCTGTCCAAGAATCTGAGTGCCCACCCTCTGAATTTAGGCGAACCTGGCTTTGAGTTCCAGCCCTATCCCTGATTAACCAACTTGCTCAGTGTCACATATGAAATTTCTATGTGCCTCAGACCATCATCTCCAGTGCTCTGAGGGCTTAGTCAGGTTGAAATGGGATTGCAAACGGCCAAAGACGGAACTCACACAGATTCTGTTTCTCAGTGTCCACAAATAAGGACTTCTACTTTCCATATCAGGTAACAATTTCCTGGTCCTCCTTTAGAGCTCACTTATTCTATTACAGAATTCCATACAAATGAAGCTCATTCAAATCCTCTGGGGTTGGGGGTAGTTAGTGGTTCCTGGTTGATGTGGGCAGCATTGGACAGAGGATCTGAGAAAGAGTGGTGAGGTCCTTCACAGGCATGAAGGTCTAAGCCAATTCCTAACTGAGGTTGCAGAGTAGGCAGTCCCACGTGCAAAGGACTGACTGTAAGTACTGGGTGGTCTGATTACACAATGCATTCTGCTTCCACTTAGCAATAATTCCCATGCATGGCACGCACTCATTCTCAATTCTAGGACATAATTATCCTTTAATCTGGGCCCTCTGCTTCTTGACTACCCTTACTGTTGTCTTTCCCGAGGCTTCCAAGAATTTCTCTGATGGGGCCTTAAGTGATGTACTGCAACACAGACTGGGCAGCAAGGGGGGTAAGGCAGACCATTGTTTAAGGTGAATGTCTGTTATTATTGATTGTTCATGGTTTTTCTCCTTTCTTGCTTTGAGTAGTAGATCTGACTCAAGAGCTGAGTACAAGGAGGTTCTTTTTAATATATAAAATACAGTAGTTTGAAAATAAATTCATTTGTGTGGTGCCAGCATGTGTAAATTACAACTATTCAGATTGACCATAAAACTGAAACAGATGTTAAAATAGCCTGTGGTTTGAGTTCAGCTTTGAACTGTAGATATTGCTGTAATCAACAGGAATTCTGCATATCTCTGGAGACATAAAGATGAGATGCATAAACAGACGCAGCTCAGCTCTTGAAGCTGACTCCTAAATCAGGATTACTAAGCATTACCTGCAGATGCAATTTTCAGTCTGGTTGCTTTAATGAGAAACAACATACAGCTGAGGACCACCAACCAACATCGGCCTTCAGTGACAGTGACTGTGATTTATAATGTTCCTAACAAGATGATCTTTGTCCAGGTTTTAACAAAGAAGACAGAAGTACATTGGTAGGGAGTAAAAGCATCATAAAAATACGTTGAGTACTTTGTTTAATGATCTCTAGAACAAAGCCACTTTCAAATACCCCTAGTAGCTCAAAAGACTGTTATGTTGTGTTAATTTAGTACATAATTGCAGTTTGTGGATTTTGCATGAAGAAAGAATGTAAACATTTTAAATGCATATTACACAGTCTTATAAAGCAGTGGTTTTCCATGTTACTTAAATTTTCTTGGATGAATTAAAGGGTACCAGTTAGTGATTTTATAAAAGGCATCTATGAAGACATGATAAAAGATATATTTGGATACTGAGTTTGAATAATAATTTCCTAGCATCCTCTACTGTATTTTCCAATTGTTTCCATTTCCAGTGAGTATGGCAGAGACTGATGAGTTCAGTGCCAAGTCTGCTTCCTCTGCTCTCTGGACTCATAGTTAACGCTAACTTCCAGCTAGACAAGGCCATATGCCTGGGTTCCAGCCACTAGACGTGAACAGACGTGAAACATGCCACTTCCCGCCTAACCCATAGATGCCTCCATTCCATGGGGATATGTTGGTGATTCTCCATGTCATCCTCTGCCATCTGCTGGATGGGAGTGGACACCCAGGGAAACTTCCAGAGAAACACCTTGAAGGTGCCAGAGCAACAAGAAGCAAGAAGCCCAGGCCCCTGGACCTCCCCTTGGATGGGAGCCATCCATCAGCCAGGAACATTTGCTTTACACTTGATAAAGTGAGAAGTCAATTTGCACTGTATGAAGCCACTGAGACCATGTAGTAGCAGTAGGAAAACCTTAAAAATATAGCAAAGATATGAAGGAGCAGGGTGATTGTCAGAGTCCTTTGGGTTTGTTTTTTTGTTAGTGACAGGGTCTCATGTAACCCAGGTTGTATTCTTACTATGTAGCCAAAACCAACCTTGAACTCCTGACCCTCCTGCCTCCACCTTCCAAGTGCTCTGATCACAGAGATTACAGGCATATTCCACCATACCCAGCTCTTTCAGGCTCAAACTGCACACCCTAGAGTTTTCTCTCCCTTTTAAGTTAGTGCTATTAATAATGATCACCATCTTTGGGGGACAAGGCTGAGTTTTCAAATATTGGTGGATTATGTCCTTGTTTTTTAGCCAGAATTTCTGCCCTGGTATTTAAGTGACTCAAGAAATTGAACCTTCAGTGTTCTCACTCTCAAATGAGAAAGTGGCTGGATGAAGGTAAGTTGCTGAGGAAACCATCTGTGAACATACAGCCCATTCACCTCCTTCCCCAAAACACTCTGGCTCCACTCTTGATTGTCTCATGTTACCTGATTCTGAATCTACACACGCACACACCAAAATTTTTGCTCCTGTTCATCAAAGTAGAAGGATCATTAGCGTTGTTCTCTGGAAGGACAAAACATATCCTAAATGGAGCATGTCTTTTAGTCAAGCGAATCTACTGGTGGGTAGAGCATTTAAGATTCGATAGTGGTTCTGACAAACAGAGTGGGCAAATGCACTGATGTAAATCCAGCCAGGCAGAGAGGTAGGAAGGTAAAGTTCTACCTTCTGGGATTATAACAGAGATGAAACCATTGGCACTCATGTGTGTGCATACATGCCTGCATGCACATAATATGTGCTATTCTCAATTTTCTCATCTCTAAAACAAGTTCATCTACTCCAATGGTTTCCCAGAAAGTTAGAGTACCAAACTGTAGTGCTTAAAAAATACAGGAAGAACCAGTAGATGTTTTATCAAAGAAACCTAGGTTTAATCCCAGCATTTTCTTTCCCAGCTGTACCTACTGCAGACAGATGAACGTATCATGTATGTTATAATACCACATACATTCTGGATCCCCAGTTTCCTCATCTATAAAGTGAAGACCATAGCTACCCATTAGTTTCTATGGGGACTGAATAGTACACTATCCCAGTCATCAAAGACCAGATACCAAGAAGGCATTCCATGAATGGCAGAGGAGAGACAGATTCCTAAACACACAGCTAATAGACCACTCTGCATCAAAAAACTCCTTTCTTCTTAATTTATTTAATTCTAGTGTATCTTACTTTATTAATTATGATCGGCCTTCTATTTTTCGGGATCATCCCTAGATAAAGATCCTGAGAAAAATCACTATGAGGCATGAACCTCTCACCTAACATTTGAATTCAGGTAAAATCCAGTTGTTGAGTACCACAGGCAGCTTTGATTAAAGATTCTTGGAGCCTAAATATAAGAAGCAGTAGAAGATGCAGAGGTTACATTAAAAAGATGAAGCTGGGCGGGGCGTGGTGGCGCACGCCTTTAATCCCAGCACTCGGGAGGCAGAGACAGGCAGACCTCTGTGAGTTTGAGGCCAGCCTGGTCTACATAACGAGTTCCAGGACAGCTGGGGCTACAGGGAGACCCTGTCTCAAAAAGACACACACACACACACACACACACACACACACACACACACACAAAAGATGAAGCCGGAGAAGGATGTAGGCCACACAAAGGCAAGGAGCTGGAGTTGGGAATGGGGAAAGGAAAGGGCAGGTTGTGCTGCTGCCAGGAAATGCGGAAACACTCACATGTGCTCCCCTAGAGATGGAGGGAGGAGACAGCAGAGCACCAAATAACAATGGACATCGCAGATCCCCCTCCCTTCCTTCCTTCCTTCCTTCCTTCCTTCCTTCCTTCCTTCCTT